CTAATTCTTGTAAAATAAAATATTTATTTATTTATTTTCTGGGACAGGGTTTTTCTGTCTAGCCCTGGCTGTCCTGGAAGTCTCTTTGTAGACCAGGCTGGCCTCAAACTCAGAGATCTGCCTGTCTCTGCCTCTCAAGTGCCGGGATAAAAGGTGTGCACCACCCCTGCTCAGCTAGATATTGTTTTAAGAAGAAAAAAGAATAGTTCGGGTTGAAGCTAAAACCAGAACCTAGTACTTTTTTGGTATGGAAGTGGGTTTATAAGAGATCCAAGACTGGTCAATTGCCATACCTCGATAGAGCAACCCGTTCTTCTAGGCGAGTCGTCCACATGAGGCAACCCTGGTCTTACAAAACCAAACCACACAGGAGCCGCAGAAAGAATTTAACTCAGTATAGTGTTTCTGGCAGAAAGAGGTTGTGGAATCTGCTCTACAAAGATCACCCTGAATGTGCCCAGGGCTCAGCATGCCTGACCTGAGTCCCCAGTGTGTCTGTGTAAGCAATTCCAAAAGGCTGAAGTGACCAAACTAGGTCACAAGAATTCTGGAGCTTCTGCCTTGTTTCTCACAGAATGCTCTGGAGACATTCTGTTTACTACGGCTGTCATATTGGGAGATATTCAAGTCACATGTGGAGGCTGTCCTAAACAGCCTGATTTTTCAGTTTTTTACAGTGAGTTCCAGGACAGCCAGGGCTGTTAAACAGAGAGACCCTGCCTCCAAAAACAAAAAACCAAACCAAACCAAACAAAAAAACCAAAGGGTCCTGTGGGTAGTGGTGCCTGGTATGTCTGCCTGTACATGGTTGCTCCCTTCTTCCCCTTGCCATGGTAGTTCTGCTCCTTGCTGTAGTAGTTACATATGCACCCCCACAATCCCAGCACCAGCCTGGAACAATTTGAGGAAAAGGTTGGTTTTGGTTTTGTTTTGTTTTTTGGTTTTTTTTTGGCTCACATTTTCAGAGGGTCTCAGTGTGTTGTGGGAAGGGAGGCATGGCAAAGCCTTCATGTTAGAAGTGTGTATTACGGCTATTCACGTCACTGGTGACCAGGGAAATAGAGGGCAAGGGCTGAGTATAACCTTCAGAGACCCATCCCAAGTGACTTACTTGTGCCAACTCAACCCAACCCTCCTAAAGTTTCACAACACCCCCAAACAGCACCTCAAAACACAAACGTATCGGGAACCCTGCAGAGTCAAAGCCCAGTATCCCTGATTCCACACACCCGCGGTGGAGTTGAATACAAATGCTCTTTCCTTCAGCCCTGGAGAACACATGAGTCAGCCCGAATTTTCAAAGTTCCACTTTTCTCTGAATATAGGGAGTGAGAGGCCCTGACCCAAGAGTCAGAGTTCTTTCTGGAACTGTCAGACCAAGTTGAGAAAAGATTCTTCACTGGGTGGTTGATGTGGCACTCTGTTCCCTGGAGCTGATATGGACAAAGTTTTCCATTAATTGCTGGAAGGTCAATGAATGCCTTTGAAATTTAAGCTGCAGGAATTTGCTTCCTGTCACTGGCTAACCAGAGCCCTGGCTAGCATGAGTAAACCTGATAGGATTATACATACACCCGCTATAGTAATCCAAGAATTGAAGGATTCATATGTGAGCTGAAATTCAGCCATGACTGCAGATTTGTTATTGGAAAAGAACTAAGCCCTAAGCAGCATGCTGGTGGAGTATGTATCCCTATATACTCCAGTGTGGCTGGACCAGTGGAATCTGACCCAAAAGGTGCAAAAGCAGTCTTTGGGGGCTAGGAGCCTAGGGAAGCCTTTGTTTCCTCTTCCCCACCCTCTCTGTCTGAAATGCAGAAGCCACCCTGGGAGTGCAGCAGGCATCCTGAGAGTGTGAGGGTCAAACCTCCTGCTGGAGGTGCAGGTGCTGATGGAGAAGGATGGAGCAGCCTGCTGCCTGCTGCTACTGGAGGATGCTATACTGGCTAACATTGCTTTTCTTCTGGCTCTCTGCACGTGAGAAAAACTAACCTGGTCTGGGTATTGCACACAGCCAGATGTGACTCTAAGTTAGGCAATGCCCTTTGCCCATTATATTCAAAGTTCTTGGAATTTTGGATCAAATGGATAATATTTGGAGACTTGCTATCAATCAGGTCTGGGCTGCTATGCCAGACATGGATCGCTGGATCCATTCCCTACCTCTTTTGCAACGATGTACATTCAGTGGCTTCAGATGACAGGTTTTTGTATTTGACACAAGTCTAGATATTAGAAATCCTTAAACCAAGGTATCAGCAGAGCTGCTTTCCTTGTAGAGGATTTAGGGACATCCATTTTGTCTTTTTAAATTTCCAGGGGCCTCCTATTTCCCTTGTCCATGTCCCCTTCTTATTCAAGGTTGGCACTGTAGCACGAACGCACACACACACACACACACACACACACACATTGCTGTTGGCCTATCGCCTTTGCTTCTAACTCCCCTGTCCTTTCCTTTCTCCAATGATAACATTTGTGATTCTGTGGGCCCACTCTGTCAGCCAGGCTAATCTCCCCACACTGTCGTGGGTACAACCACACCTGCAAAAGCCCCTTTTTTGGCATATAAGCTAATGTATCAATATGTAGAAATTTCAAGGGCTCACTGACCTTTCTCCATTTTCCTGTTTACCTACAGAGTGACAGTGTTTTGTCCAGGTCCCACACTTTGTCCAGGTCCCACACAGAGCTAGCTGAGAGGACAGAACTGCGCAGACACACTCATCACTGGCAGAGGTAGTAGAGGTACCCTTTATCCTCCTGAGCATGAATCTAGAATCAGACATTCTTTCGAGGTCCACGTCAGACCTCCAGTGTGCTCAGAAGCTATATTGCTGTCACCCATGGCCCACAGCGCCCATCCTCTTGGCTGTATCTCTGTCGCTCATTGTCATCAGCCCAGCTGTCCCAAAGGCATTGTTTTATCCTCTGACCATCTTGATCTCTGAAGATAAAGATAACATCTTAGGCTACTTTGCACCACAAGAACCCACTACATGGAGTAGAGGCTTCTGGTAGATTCTTTAGTAGGAGGCACTCAGCTCCTACCCTGCAGTCTAGAAAGACAGTCTCCCTTACAGACAAGACTGGGTGACGTCCAGTCTTGATGTGTTGGCAGTAGAGCGGCAAGCACAGGAAGGCAGGGTTGAAAGTATTTGATTCTTCTGCTTCAGCTGAGGCAGGGACTGTTCTATTAGGTCCATAGCATCTTACAAACAGGCAATGGAATAGGACTATCACAAGAGCAGGGAATGTAGCCACTTCTAATAGCGGTACGACTCATGGCTATGTAGCCTGGTTCTTCAGCTTCCACCCTCTCAGCCTCAAATCTGTAAGCTCCTTCTTGCCTGGTGTGAACACATCCTCTCTAGCTGCAGTGGCTTCTCTCGTCTCTCTCTATAGTATAATCTAGTCTCTGGCATAGCAAACCCCTTCAGGGTAGGCACTACACCTTTCTCTTGCAAACAGATCCTCCAGTGAACCCATCAAAAGAATAATGCACAACTCACTGAAATGGGTTAAAGTTCCATCACTCTGTGGGGCTGGAGAGATGGCTCAGTGGTTAAGAGCACTGGGTGGTCACTCAGAAGATCGTGGTTCAAGTCTCACTATGGCAGGTCACCGTTGTCTGTAACTCCAGTTTCAGGAGATCTGACGCCCTCTTCTGGCCTCTGCAGGCACAAGATACCCATGCAGACAAAACACCCAAACACATAAATAACATTTTTCGAAAAAGTTTTAATATTCTGATGAATTTTTCATGCTTTCTGGGAAACAAGAGCCTGGAATGGAAGCAGAATGTGGTTCCCCTCCTTTCAGGCTCAAATTTCTTAAATAGAAGAAGTCATTTCCTTGTTTCAATGTTATTACTTCACAGGGGCAGTCCAGAAAACCCTTCTCTTTTTATACCAGTGTTTGTGACAAACATAATATAACATTAAATGAAGGGTTAGAATTCATTAGAAATTTTTGCTGATTTAACACACTGTCATTCTCCTTTTCTCCCCACCCCTGTTACTATGGTCTTCATCTTTGCTAGGCTGTTGTATGCATGCAACTTTTGGACTTTTGTTTTTCATATAATGTTAGAACAGAAGAGTTTTCCAAGGTTGTTGCCTAGCCTTTCTTCATCCTCTCTCTCTCTCTCTCTCTCTCTCTCTCTCTCTCTCTCTCTCGGTATTTCAAGACAGAGTTTCCCTGGCTGTCCTGGAACTTGCTCCTTAGACCAGGCTGGTCTCAAACTCAGAGAGATCCATCTGCTTGTTTCTGCCTCCTGAGTGCTGAGATTAAAGGTGTGTGCCACCACCACCCAGCTGGTCTTTCTTTTCAACAACACATTTCTTCCAGCATCCCTGATATCTGTTCTGTGTCCCTACAGTACTTTTCTTTCAGTTTGTCTTGGCATTATCATTTACACTGCGGTCATCATGTTTGCACCTGTTCCTTTAGAGTTTCCAAGGAGCGGGATTGTGCCAACTATATAACTGCTTGCAAGGTCTCCCCTTCTCTCAATTTTGAGACAAAATCTCAGTATTGCATTAAGGCTGGTCTTCAAGACTTAAAAATTCAATTATTTAATTAATATGAGTGTGTGCATGCACTCACGGTGCTCTGGGTACAGTGTGCAGGCATCGGTTTCCTCCTTCTGTCATATGGGTTCCGGGAATCGAACTCAAGTTGTTAGGCTTCCTGTCAAGCATTTTGACCCCAGTGGCATCTTGCTGGCCCTAGTCTCACACTCTCAGTCCTGCTTGGATTACAGGTGAGACCCATCCCTCCCGTACGGTTTTACTTTTCATTTCAATTTGCCTCGCCCCGACTCTTAGGGAGGCGTTCCGAGGGACGTGTTCTCAGTTTTTCTGCTATGCCCTGTAGATTCCAGCCTCGGAGAAGGAATGCAGCCAAGCGCCAGGCGGACACACGTGGTTCCGGGTTTGTGCCCGGCCCGCCCAGCTGTGGACTACATTTCCCAGCCAACACCGCGTGGAAGGCGTGGCCGCGGGGTACGGGCGACAGCAGCGCCGTCCAGGGTGTACAGCGGGACCCGATGGCCGTGTGGGCCGAGCGGCTGGCGGGCGTGCGGGGAGTACTGCTTGACATCTCCGGCGTGCTGTACGACAGCGGCGCAGGCGGCGGAGCCGCCATTGCGGGATCTGTGGAGGCGGTGGCGAGGTTAGTGGGCTCAACGCGGGGGGGTGGGGGGGGGGGTGGGTGTCGGGTGTCGGACTTCTCTGGCTGCCGGGGGCGGGGCGTTCACGCTGGCCCCGCCTCCTCGTGCACTGGCCCCGCCCTTCATGCTGGCTAGGAGCCAGGTGGTGAAGTTTGGGTTGGCGCTGCTAGGTTTCCAAGGGTTGTAGTTTTGCTTTGGAAGCAGGTGAACGGTTGAACTTGGTTAACCTGCAAGTAAAATACAGATTCCAAAAGTGTAGGATATTGCAATATGTATTAGGCCAATGAGATGGCTCCATGGATAAAGGCATTCACTATTGTGACAACCTGAATTCAATCCCTGGGACCCACATGGTGGAAGAAAAGAAGTGACAGCTGCAAGTTGCCTTTTATCTGACCTCCACATAGTGCTCCACTCTAAAAAGAAATAAACGGAAAAGTTATTTTAAAGTATTTCATTATGTTGCTTACATGTTTAAATGACCATTTTTAATATACTAGGCTAGGTAAACTATTTTAAATGTTCCACCTGTTTCTTTTACCTTTGAAAACTTTAAATCTCATATGTGGCTAGCCATCTAATTCTTTTGGATTGATTTTGATTTGAGGAGGAGAAAGCATCTGGTTCTTCAAGCCTGCCCATGCAGGACCCTGCCTGCCAGGGACCACACTTGACATTAAGTCTGAGCTATTTGCCTTTGGTGTCCCTAGCCAGCTCTACGTAATGTTGATGGAGAGTTGGAAGGGGCTTGTTGTTTAGCTAGCACTCAGTCTCCCAGAATCACTAGCTGGGATGCCCTGACCTAACTTGGATTATTTATTTACTGGTAGTTAAGTAAATCCTTTGATCCCAAGAGGCCCTCCCCTACCTCTCTCCCCTCTCCCCTCTCCCCTCTCCCTTCTCCCCTCTCCCCCCCCCCCTCTCTGTGTGTGTGTGTGTGTGTGTGTGTGTGTGTAGACAGAGGAGGGTGGATAGCATTGGTGAGGTGACAAGGACTCCAGCTGTGTTTTGTAGCAAAGTCAAAGGGACTTGAGAAGGACATCTGCTCCTAGGAAGCACCTGCGACCTCAGTGTGGGCAGAGGTCTCGGTTTACCTGTTCTTAAGGTATACAAGCCAAGAAATAGTGCCACCCACAGTGGGTAAGTCTTCCCACTTTAAGTAACAAATGGAGATAGTCTACCCACAGACATGCCCAGATGCTGTCTCCTGGATGATTCTAGATCTCATCAAGTTGACAGTTGAGTTTACCCCTGTCACAAACATGTACACACACACATGAACTTGTACACGTGTACAAATAAGTACAATGAAAATGAGATTTCCTTTGGCAAGAGAGTCTCAGAATATATAAATAAAAAAATCAGCTGGAGTAAGGACCAATGACATAATCATTCACCAGGGCAAAAACCAACAGTGACCTCCTAAGCATATGAAAGACCTCCTACCTGGCCACATTAGAAACACAAATTAAGGGGCTGGAGAGAGGGCTCAGCGGTTAAGAGCACTGACTGATCTTCCAAAGATCCAGAGTTCAATTTCCAGCAACCACATGGTGACTCACAACCATCCCTCATGGGATCTGGTACCCTCTTCTGGCCTGCAGGCATGCATTGCCTGGTGTAAATTCTGCATCTAGAAAGTATTCATATTGTGCATGTAACTCCCAATTCATTTCACTCTCTTGTGTAACCAGCATCTCAGAAAACTCCCTCTACACTCCCCAGCCCAGGGCAAGCACTGCTTTGCCCTCTAATCCCGTAGGTTAATTTTGCTTGTGAATCTGGATATTGTGGGGCCAGAAAGAAGATGAAGTGAAGGAGAGTCATGGCAGCAGGGCCTTGAGGAGGCAGCTAGTCACGTGACTTCTGCAGTCAAGACATCACAGAGTGTGTTTCCCATTTATGACTGTCCCTTTCGCCTGCTATCACTCGCGAGAGATTTGCTGTAGTTGTGGACGGTGGTTTGTGGATGGTTTGATTGTGTTACTAAGCTTGGTTCTAGGGAGTGATGACTTACTGTTCTACTGTGAAGAGACACCATGACCAAGGCAACTTATAAAGGAACACAATTAACTGGGGGATTGCTTATGGTTTCAGAGGGTGACTCTATGACCATCAATCATGGGGAACATGGCAGCAGGCAGGCAGGTGGGCAGACCTGGTGCTGGAGCAGAAGCTGAGAGCTTACCTGTGATCCACAAGTATGAGGCAGAGAGAACTACCTGGGAATAGCGCGGGCACAAAGGCCCACCCCCATGACACGCCTCCTCCAACAAAGCCACATCTCCTGCTCCTTCCTAAACAGTTCCACTGACTGGGAACCAAGCACTCCAATATATGGGCTTGTTGGGGGGGGGGGGCGGCATTCATTTTCAGACCTCCACAAATGAGGACACATTTGTGCACCCCTATCTTTCCCATTTGGGTTATTGCAGCTGGTATTTTGGGGACCATGTGACTGTGTTCCTACAGGGTGTGCATCCATGGGATGTGGGAGTGTCAGAGTGGAGTAACTGAATTACAAGGCAGGAATGTGTTTGACAAGTGGTCGCCACCTCTGCCAGCTCCACAGCCTTTGGTGTGTTTTAGGACCGTTGTTACAGGCTGCTACATGTCAGTATCACCATGCCGGAGTCACCCCTGCTATGCAAGCCTGCAGGGGTCAAAACAAATCTCTTTACACTTTTATTTATGTGCATGAGTGTGTTGCCTGCATGTGTATCTGTTTGAGGGTGGCAGGGACCCTGGAACTGGAGTTACAGACTGTTGTGAGCTGCCCTGTGGGTGCTGGGAATTGAACCCAAGTCCTCTGGAAGAGCAGCCAGTGCTCTTACTAAACTACTGAGGCACCTATCCAGCTCCTTTAATTCTTTTTTATAAAAGATTTATTTATTTTATGTGTATGAGTGTTTGCTGGCATGTATGTCTGTGCACATGTGTGCTTAGTGCCTGTAGAGGTCAGAAGGAGGGCATCCCCTGGAACTGGGGTTATGGATGGGCTGTGAGCCACTAGGTGGGTGTTGGGAACTGAGCCACGATGTGGATGCTGGGAACTGAACCCTGGTCCTCTGCAAGAGCAACAAGTGCTCTTAATCACTGAGCCCTTAAAGCTCATCTTAGCAAAGCCTTCCTGGGACCAGTCAGTCATAAGCCTCAGAACCTACAGAGTCTGCCAGTATCCTTCCCATCACCGACTGTCTTTGTACCCTTTTCTTGGACAGCACTATGTCAGGCTAGGCGAGCCTTCTTTCCAGAAGCCTGTGGGACTATTCTTGTTGAGGGGACAAGGAACCCAAATGACTGACAGTCTCTGAACTCCCTGGCTTCCTTGCTACTGGACCAAGTCCCTAAATCTGTGCCTGGTCCACCTTTGGCTCTCTCATGACTGACGTTCCTTTTCTTACCTCATTTCTTCTGTGGGTTTTTGCTGAGCAGTCTTCCAAGCAGCCCTGGCCTCTATAAGGCCAACCCTTCCTGCTCAGGCCTAGGGCAGCCCCACAGGCCCTCCCTCCTCTGTGACAGGTGCAGAAGCTTAGGAGTAAGAGATTTTTGCCCTCTGTTAAAACACACCTGCTTTTGAAGTTTTCTGGGGATTTTCCTCTCTGGGTAGCAGAGCCAACACTGGCCTCTCCCAGAACCCTTCACAGATGGGTGCAGCTTGCCAGGGTACACAGCTGGGCATCCAGCTGGCTTGTGTGGCCTTGGCAGCATTTTCCACCTTTCCCTCTGTGACCCCCCCTTGAAGTACAGTGCTCCCTTTGAAGTTCTGCAGGAGTTCAAAGGAAGTTCCTGGGGTGAGACCCACTGTGGCAAGGGACAAGTGTGATGGGGGCGGGATGGGACCTGGGGGAACGCACTTCCCTGGCAGCTTCCCGGCACAGAGGCTCCAAGGCAGCATCTTAAATTTTAAAGCCTAGTAGGGGATGGCTCACTGTCTCCCATTATTCTGTCTGGGTGTCCTGTTGTAAGCCTTTTGTTGTTGTTGTTTGTTTGTTTGTTTTTTACACTATCTAGAAAGTTCCCACTTATGGGGGGACAGAAAGCACAGGAAGAAGGTCAACTTACTTTGAAAATGGGACCAACTATAGTAAGAAGCCTCACGTGAAGGGGGCCTGTCAGGAGCCGGGCAGGGACTCCCTGCCCTGCCTCACTTTCAATTCTGCCCAATGAGCCCTTTCCAGAATGAGGGCTGAGGGCTTGAAAAGCAGGAAGCGAGGCTGAGTTCTTATTAAAGACGGATGACTGAGCGCATCCACCCACACAGCCGGCGAACATCCACCCACACACCAGGCAAACATTTGTTGGACGCCTGCGGTGTGCCGGGAACCCTGCTCTAGACCTGGAGAGTTTATGATGGCGAGTCAGGTGTCTAGAAACCAGGGCCCTGGCGGAGCCAGCGTGGCAGTGCCAGGAGACCGACTTGCCCTAGGCAGGCTCGTGTGCTAAGTAGAGAAAGCCTGGACTGTGAAGAGGTCCAGGGCTGCAGGTGCTCATGGGCCTTACAGGTCCCATGGGCATTGAGTTGAGATCGACAGAGGTGAACCTAAGAACATCCCATATGGAAGGAGGGGGCAGCTTTGCCCTTCCCATGCGGTGTCTCCCCCGATGGACCCCAACCCCTGCTACCCACTTAGTCCTGCAAGCTGCTGGGTGGGGCCCACTGACTGCTGTAGGACTTGTGGGCGGGTGTGGCCATCTGTAACCCGCCTGGGTCCCTCCAGCAGGCCTTTATTGGAGCCCATTTGTGGTCAGATCGGGCTCCCTGAGGGGAAGCATTCAGAGGCAGGCTGGGCACAGCAGGGGCGGCCGCACAAAGGCCCTGGTGGCTGGGCAGGCCCTGGCGAAGGCCCCCGAGGCATCTGCATGTGAAAGGTGATGCGCATTTACTGCATCCTGTGGAAGGCCACTAAAGCACATCTGCCGGGCCAGCCTAGCCCACGCTGGCCTTTTGGGAGCCGGCGGAAGGAAGCAGGCTCGGCCTCAGCCCAGGGCAGTCTCATAA